TTTTTTTTTAAAATCCCTATTTAAAATCCCCTTTCTCAAATCAGGCTGTTCTGAGAACCCTGTCAGAATTACATAGTTCTGTACAGGCCCCTCCCACGATAGTTGATTGACAGTAGCGTTTCAGAATCAGCACAGACTGGACTGGTGTCTTACCTTCGACCCGCCCTGAGTGTTTTCGTAGTAGACAAACATGATATTTAAGTTTTTTTTGACTACTTAAAGAAAACGTACCAGGTTGGTATTTTTACAATGTTTCTAAAACGTTTTATTTTGTTTACATTTATTTTATTTTAAAAAACGTTTTTAAAACGTTGTACTACAACATTACCTAATTGCAACCAAAATACTAGTGTTGGGTTCGAGTCCACCTAAGTCGAGTCCGAGTCTTTAACCAATCGAGTCTGAGACAAGTCCGAGTCCAAAATGGGCAGAGTCCAAAGTGGGACTCAAGTCCGAGTCCCAAACAGCCGAGTCTGAGTCGAGCCCGAGTCCAACAAAACACTATTATTTATTAGTATCTTAACATTGTTTTAACCTTTACAACTAGAAAAACGCAACGTCCATTTAAATGTAACAAAAGCAAACCTCTACTGCAGGGGTCGGCAAGTAAGTTTGGCATCGGGCCAAAAAAAATTTTCGCCACTAGATGGCGGGCCAGAACATGCCTGTGACAGATTGTGCTCCGCCTTCACTCCGCGTCTAAAGTATTTAAAATTGTTTGAAATATCACAATTTTGTTCATAACGTATATTAAAAAATAAAAGAAATAAAATAAAATAACAGGAGAGTTTCAAAGTGGCTTATTGGAACACAGTGTGCAAACTTTTTTCCTACCACATGACAAGCTAATAACATAGTTGTCAACATTAAATACATAATTGCTGCTTTTTGCAGTGCAAATTTGGTTTGTGATGAAAATAACAGTACGTTTTCGTCAGTTATTTTACCTACGGATCGATGCATTTCTTACAGATTTCTGCTCATTCGAAATCGGATACAGATGAAGTAGCACTTGTAAGATTACATTTGTTTGAATGCATTATTGAGAGAACGATTGCGTGTGAATAAGTGTTGTAGTACTTGTTTAAATCGTGCTTTCAGATGAAAATATTCAGTATCTAGAAGGAACAAACAAATTCCTTGATAACTATAACTTAGCCTTCACATTCTTTCTGATTTGAGTGATCCTTCTCTATCAAGCTAGCTAAATATGTTTAACGTGAATTCTTGCTAAATATGCAGTTATATTGCGGGCTGTTGGCATGAATTGTACTCGTGATGGAGCGGTGGTGGAGCGCTCTAGGAGTGAGTGAAAACCACGCTCCGACTTTTAAAAAATCCGCTCCTTGCTCCATTCAAAATCACACCGCTCCACTCCGCTCACATGCTCTGATTGTGAGTAACTGTTGCTGTCATGACAGATCTATTTCAGAACCAGCCGCTATCAAAATAATCTGGCTGCGGGCGCCGGCGCGGGCCAGATATTATTGCTGGCGGGCCAGTTTTGCCTGTTGCCGACCACTGCCATATTGAGTAAAAATGTCCAGAGCTTATCATCGTTATCAACATAAATTGAATTGCAATCTCAAAATGATATCATTTATCATCTAGCCCTTCTTCAGAGTTTTTGAAATGCAAATTCCTACTGCTAAATTACAAAAAGCCTTGCATGATGTTATTTTCAAGATTTTTTCATTCCCTCTCTTTACTACTTACCCACAATACTTTTGTTTCCTCTCCTCAGCCGAACGACCCAGTCACAAATATCTGCCAGGCAGCTGATAAACAGCTGTTCACTTTGGTGGAGTGGGCAAAACGGATCCCTCACTTCAGTGAGCTGTCTCTGGATGACCAGGTCATCCTGCTGCGTGCTGGTAAACCTATTTGCCTTTGTCTTTCTGACTCTGAATGTTTTTAAAATCAAAACTGGAAACTGCAAACAGGATTTTTGGATGTTTCCCTTAGCAAACTCTTAATAATTAGCTTTTCTCAGTAGTGATCCCCCCTCATCTTTTGCTGCTTTCATTTGTCGACCAGGCTGGAATGAGCTACTGATCGCGTCATTCTCTCATCGCTCCATCACGGTGAAGGATGGCATTCTGCTGGCCACCGGCCTCCACGTGCACAGGAACAGTGCTCACAGCGCAGGGGTGGGAGCCATCTTTGACAGGTAATAGTCATGTCACATGACTGCAGACAGGATAGCCTTGTATTGATCTTCTAAAGGTCTTAGCTTTATTAGATTTGCTCGCTATAGGTTTCAAAAAGATGTGCATGTGACCTGCTGTGCTTATGTGTGAAAAGGATTAGGCAAGAAATATCGTATCATGATTTGTGGTAGACCTGTGCTCATGAACCTTAACAGCTTTGCTTCTTGACACATTTAAGGCTGCAAAGGTGGTTGGATTTTCCTGTGTCATGACAAAGAAAAATACCTTCTTTTACCTCCTGACAGCCTGCTGCCTTGACGCTGCTGTGTATATAGTGTGCTTTTATAGACGGACACTGCACGATCAGACAGGACATACACATACATGCAGACACCTATATGTGCACCAATGCTCTCCTCTGCTTATAGTCTCGACACACTCCCATTTACATGATCAATACAGTGCACATGTATGAAGTGTGCTCTGGCATTCACTCTTGATCTGCTGGTAATTACAGCGATTGTTTATATTAAGAAACAAATTGACCACATTTCTCTCCATAACTTCTCAAGACTCCATATTTTATCTTTGTCTTCTGCAAATCCAGGAATAATGAGCTACAGGCTGTTGTTTTAATTGAGCTCATTCTAGATGTTCTGTGCTACAGTTTGTTGTGATGTTCATATGAAATCGTCTTTCGTTGCCATTCATCTTGTCATAATGTCTCCGCTTCAGAAATGAGCCTCCATGTCTTGTGCTTCACTGTCCATCTCACCTGATTCTTGCAGCGCTTCATTGTCCTCCTGTTGGTGATGTGTGCACATGCTTCGCGCTTTGCTTTATTGGCTTTAAATGCTATTTAACCCTCTGTGCAAAATCTGATGCGTGTTCAGAATCATTTTATGTGCATTTTGAGCAATTAGGAGATGCTGATGTTATAGTACATAATACTTTAAGTCAATGAGCAGTTATATTCCACAACAACAAAAATAATAATATTATATTTCTTCAGGGCTCAACAGTAATGATTTTTCACATTTCTGCTTTTGTTCAGATGTTCACTGACCGCACTTGCAAAAAAATTTAAATTAAATATACATTTTTTTTTAATCAACATTTTCGTGTCAGAAAAAATTGTACATTTTCAATTAAACATTTTTATTTTTATATTAAAAAAGCTTTTATGTATATATAATGCATTAGAAAAGTAGTTTAAATGCATTAATAATGCCTTGTAATGCACCTTATGCATTGTATGCCCTCGTGAATAATTATAGCCATAGTTATAATAGATTATAAAACTTATCTATTCATAGTTACACTTTTAGAAAGTATGATGCATCAAATCACTTGACAAACAAACCTTCAAATATTATAATGCATTTTAAATTTGGCTACAATTATTTATTAAAAGATATGAATGCATTACAAGGCACATTATGAATGCATTTATTATGCATTGTACATAAAGGCTTTTTTATTTTGTTATAAAATTAGCTAGAAATTAAGTGTTGATTACACATTAATTACATTTAATTTTTACTTATTTTAACTGATGCTCAACAGATTTTAAAAGAACCTTGATGAGGAATTTACATCAACAGATTTGCAAAACAGTGTGCAAAACGTCATGGTTCGCATTTACGTAAATAAATTGAAGCGTCCATTCTTATTGTTGAGCCCTGGTCTTATCCTGTTAAATATTTCTTTCTTCATGTTATATTGTATTTGTTTTGTGCTGGGAATTGTCATTTAAAGCTTTGCTGCTGCCCAACCCATGATCGTCCGCCTTCCTTTCAACAAGAGCCTGTAGCTTGTTACTCTTTGAACTGGGCCTACCGCCATCATACGTGGAGTCTTAACGTCTCTGCCTGGGCCTTTCTGGAGTGGGGAGACATTATATAACAATGAAATGTGAAATGACATTTTAATAACACATTGTGATTGAACACACAGGGAGAGTGCGCACAATGCAGAGGTTGGGGCCATATTCGACAGGTAATGATACTCCGCCACACGCCATAAACAAACAGCAGCAGTCAGGAAAGCCTGTAGCTTGAGACAGTTTATTTTGGATTAAATTATGTCTAGGGCTGTTTGGGGCAGGTAAAGACCAAACTGACCTTGTGTACGAATATCTGTGTGATTGAATGTGTTGCTTGGACTCACAATAGCTGCGTTTCCACTGTCGGGCCAGTGCGAGCCAGGGCTAACAACGAGCCTCGGACCTCAAGCTGCAAGGCCAAAAACGAGCTGTGTTTCCACTGTCGGACCAGAGCTCTCTTCTCTCTTTAGAAAGAATGAGCATTTATATTTATTTTCCCCGATGCATGTAATCTGAAGAGGTTTGAGCTCTGTCTACAGTCTCTCACTGTACTGTTATCCTTTCAGCCAGAGCAACAGAGGGAGCTCACAGACAGAAAACCAGAGTTATGAGTTACAGAGTATATGAAATTTATGACGTGCGGATGCAAAAGTCCTGTATCAACAGAGACACAGAGAAGAGACAGAACAAATATGACACCAAATAAATACATGATTATAATCATATATGATTTATCTAGTTCTTCATGCTGTCTCTGGTATTTTAATAAGCATAACATGTATTTATGATGGCGATGGTTAGCGTAGCCTTAGAGCATCGCATATAATACATTTCTGCCTCATACGGTGATCAGAATTCCCATCGGGGCCCATTCGTAAGTTATTTCAAACACTCGCTGGTGTCTGAAGTGAGTTTTGCCATTAAAATAATTTTAAATGTTGATTAAAGCTGGTAGCTTGATATGAAAACGTGGGAAGTGAGTAGCGGTGCCGACCGTCTCCAACTCAGATAAACTCCGCCTTTATTCATGACCACTCCTCTGGCCCCAGTTGGCCCTCTTTGGCGGGCCGAAAATCCCTGGGCATTGGCCCTGAGGAAGCCCCGATGAGGCAGAGATCAAGCCCCGGAAGTGACAATGGAAACGCAACTGGCACGCACTAGCACACTCGCTTTTGGCCCGACAGTGACTAATGTTAACATGATTTATATAATTTATATAATTTTTATGATTTTTTAAAATGAAATATGAATTTTGAATAATCTAAATTAGTTTGATTCTATTCATTCTATTCATCAGTGTTTGAACCATTAAAGAAGAATCTACATTTTAATTTCTGGGTAAAAAAAAAAAAAACGAAAAATGAATGTACGCCAAAGTACACAGACCCCTTAGACAGGGCATTTTGAATTTTTTCTTGGATGAAAATGAGGCTGTGAAGGATAAACCTAGTCTGTACAATGGCACACACTGTGTATAAA